GCAATACAATATTTTTCAATATTTGCTTACACCCCTATTCATTTCCCTTCGCTCTCTTCACAGTTTGCATGCCACTTCCAACTTTTATCCACACACATATTCAAACTCACCCCCCACCAAATACACATCTTCATCTCTACCCTCATCCACTGCCCTCTCACCACCTCATCAACTCATCACTTCCATCTATGGGACAGTACCACCCAGAAATAGGGTTTTAGTGCCATTTTAACTGTTTTCCAGCATATTTTGATGATTATTGTGATAATATTGTGAATCAGTTATTTTGTGACATGACATTTCCATATTGCCCCATGCCTAATAACATCTATCGTCTAAAAGTAAGAATGTGTGTATTTTACTTCAGGGCTGACCACAGTGGCCTTACCATTGCTGTAATGCAGAGAGATGGCACTGGACTTCATGGTGATTCCTCTGATCTGTTCATCCTCCCTGCTGTCCAGATACCTCAGCTGGTAAATGAACACAGCACAAATAAGCACAAAACAACTAAAACTGGATTCCTGCACACATACAGGTCATAGAGCACAAAAGTCCCTCACCTTCCCAGCTAGTCGACTTGATATGATGCCGTTACTTGCCACCAGGCAGTCAGCCAGAGTAGTTTTGCCTGTAAAGACACAAGTGGTTGCAAATGGCTTCACTACCTTACAGCATACACTAAACATGTTGGCCAACACCAAATCCATTACATTTAAAAAAAACCACAAATTTTTTTTCTATATATTTTTTGAAATATTTTTTGCAGTACTATTTACAGCCAATCAAATTTCAAATTGACGCCAAGGTTGTTTTGTCACACATACAGTATGTCACAGAAGACAGTAATAGCTACATATGCATCCATAGACCTTGAAGCTGTTCCAGTTACACTCAGTGGTTGATCTGGCAACTGACAGTCCAACTTATGAATGTTGACGTGTTATGTAATTAACTATGTATTGTATGACCTGCCAAATTTAAGAGTGTATAATAACAATTCAGGATATGGCTTTATTAATGTTTTATTATAGTAGTTATTATAGTTTTTTTTTTATTTGGTTTGCCATAATCTGCACGGTAAAGAACTAGGACCAATCAGGGTGATGAGAACTCACCATGATCAACATGTGCCAGGATGCACAGGTTTCTGGTGTTGGCAGGGTTCCTCTGCAGGGCAATGATCTTGTCCAGGCTGGTTAGTCCCATGGCGAGCACCTGAAACAAGTGACAGCACTAAACATAGAGCTGGTAGCTAGAACCTGCTTTAAACTGCTCATTTGTCACTCATAATAAAACTGGAATGCTGGCTTAAAGTCTCTGTTTATGTGTTCTGTGTTCCATTTAGTGCAGCAGAGCCTTTCCAGTGAGCCAACATGCACAATATCAACAACCTGACTGTCTGAGCTGAATGGAACCTTCATCAGTTTCACTGCTAACACCTGTGCTGTATCTACTTCAGGCCATAATGGCGGCTGGGAAAAGGGGTATAATGTCGTTTTGAGATGGATAAAGTAGTTAGGTGAGTAATTTGCTACATTATACGGCAGAGAAATGTGTGTGTCTGAAGTAAAGATATATATGACATGTTAGCTAATGGAGCATTAGCAAACGAGAAGTTACTACCGTTACGTTAGAGAAGCAGCGGGTTAGCCACCCTGTTGTTGTCGTTTTACTGGGGACACCTGAACACCGCAACGCTACAATCTAGAACGGTGAAGTGATACAGTGACAGTACTGTGACAGCCTACGTTACACTACACAAAGTTAACCTACAGTGCAGTGCTTGCTTGCTTGCTTACCCGCCACAGCTAGCAGCGCGCTGTATTTACACAATACAATTTAAACTGTAACGTTACAATAAACACAAACAAACAGGTCATGCGGTGCTCTCACTGATTTATCTGTGGGTTTAACGCCGGGGACATCTGCTAACACTGTGGCTAGCTTCATCCAGACTTCTCACAGAAAGACATAAAACATAACCTGGTCTCTAAAGTCTCCACACGACCCCACTATAACCCACTGCGCTGCTGTATCGACTTAAATGTAAGATCATTGTGAAAATAAACGCATATTTTAAAGACATGTGGACGCACTCAACTCACGTTGTTTTCCCGGAAGTTGATAAGGCACGTAAACCACGCCCGTTTGCTAACATTGGTGCTGCATTCACGGTACATGGTAAAGATGAAACTTATCCTGGGATTTTTTTAGCTTGTACTTGTCAGATACAATTAGATAGGTTATACTACTAATTAATTGAAACACCGCTTAACTCAGGCTGTGAATTTTGAACAATAATTTGTTTCAGTGTCAAAAACTGTTTAAGACTTTCTACTACTATTACTGTGTGTGTGTGTGTGTGTATGTATATATTTATATATATATATATATATATATATATAATATACTATTACTCTTTGAAACACTTCCCTACACACACACACACA